CACAGTGTCCTCATGGGTTTGCAATAAAGCATTCCCTCTGCTACTTCATTAATCAGCTTCCCTCACACTTACGGCAGTTTCCCATTAATGCCATGTTTGCCATCTCTCCAGCACGCCAGTGTTCCCAGTGGGAATTTCCTGTAACTCCAGCACTAGAGTAAACAGCAGTACCCTTTGCCCAGGCAGTCCAGCAAGCAGGACCACAGATGCGGTGCTCTGAGAGGGCAGCACTGGGTGCCCATTCACATCCCAAGGATTACAGCTGCAGTAAAGCCCTGTGCTGCCTTCAAACACTCACAAGTAACAGTGACCTTTACCCGCATGGGACTCCCCTTCTCATTTGCAAGGAACTGGCTTGACCCCACAAGCAGCCTTTTCTTGCTCCCAGCTTCCCCAGCCTCTAAACATACAGCACACTCTCTTTCTGCTAGGGTAGTATTTACTCAAATCCAAGACAACCCTCAAGGGTTTAAAATTCAAGGTTCATCCCTTACTTTGTTTACTGAAACTTCATGTTAAACATGAGGGAATTCGGGGTTTCTGTTCTGCCTTTATGGCACAGTAAGAGCTGACTCTTACACTGTGTCCTTTGCTTTGTGCCTTGGGCACTTGGCCTGTTAATTAGGAAGCTGGGCAACTTTCAGATCTGGAGAGAACTCAGACTGCAGCCTCACACACCAGGCTTTGGGGCAGGCCCCTGATTCATTAGCCTTCACGAGTCCCAAAAGTACTGTTCACCACAGTCAATATAAGCAGAAAGCATACATCATGTCTCAGTCCCCTGCCAAAGCCATGGAAACACCGAATTGTGCAGAGAACACATGGTTGCCAAGAACCACCTTCTCAGCTGAGAAAAGGTCTAGCAAAAGACTGCCTCTTCTGAACACCCAGTCCCGCTAAGAAACTATTTGCCTTTGTTCCAGATCTTACCCTTAATCTAGTGACACCTGATGACTTACAACCGTAACAGTGAATTAGCAGATGCCTTTAAGAGCCTTGATAAATTTTCTTTTTTTTTGATTGTGTTTCTCAAGTAGGCAACTGACAGCAGCCCAGATACTTAATGACTTCCTGTTTCTTATATGTTTACCACAGATGCCTTCCTAAACCCAGGCACCTCAGCTTACAGAAAATGGTTAGCCACGCTGAAGGTGCTGTAGCTGTTGCACGTCCTCCTGGCTCTTAACTGTTGCCACTATCACATCCATAGGACAGACTTACACTCCTTGGGTAAGAATTCCCAGGTTTTGTTCCTGTGGGTGTGCTGGAGAACTTGCATTTGCTCACTGAGATTGATTGAGATGAACCAATCACAGAAATAAGCACTATCTTTGTGTAAGCTCCCATATTCTACCACCTGCAGGGATACTTATTTCTACTAATAATGGAGGGAATCACTACAGCCACAAGCACAGTATTTTCCCTGCACGCTGATTTCATTTTAAGCTGATGCTAGGCAGCCAAAAGGCAGTTTCTTTGGTGAGTGCTACGTGCCTGGGCAGGGAAAAGAAGTGCAGCAAGTCATGCCACAGTGCAGCAGACAGCAGAAACTGTGCTGTACGGTGTGCAACAGGTTACCCAGTGAACGCCTAATGAGCCTTTGCAAAATGGAGAGAGCTTCAACTCGTTCCTCAATTCAATTCATACCTCTCCCTTAAAGCATCTGTGCAGGATGCTGCCCCTCTGGGCTGGAGATCCACACTTACCTTGTGAAGTAAGAAGGAGCAACTTCCTGCTAGTTCCATAGGGTGTTAAAAGGCTGAACTCATCAAGGGAGTTTGGTAATTGAGTGCCAGTTGATGGTGTTGTGTACCCAAGAATATATGCCTAACTCCGATCCCTGTGCTCCTGTGTGGCATGTCAAGGAGCAGGGTCAGTGTGATTAAGTTTCTGGGCATCATCATCATTGGTATTTGCAAAACGTAAGTACTGAAAAGATTCTGTTGGAGTGAGCATGATCACATTGTACAGAACTCTTCAGGACAACAAATACATCCTACAGTAGACACAACAGGAATGCGCACATCTGCTGCCAAGGAGCTAAGGCACATCTGCTTGGACTGGAAGTGGTAAGATGTCAGCTATTTCATATGAAATAACTAAGCGTATTAATGTGTATTTTTTCTTAGCACTATACTTCATTCTGCTACTTCTTCTCCTCACCCTTTTTAATTATCCCTTTTTTGTTGGAATATCAAGCATCAAAATACCTCAATGATGATGATTCCCCTGGAGTAGAAAAGATACTTTCTAAGATTTTTTTTTTTTTCCCTTGGAATTCCATCTTACAAGTCTTCTTGCACTGGAAACATAAAATAACAGAGACATCAGACATAAGCAATGCCTTTTATTGAAGCTTGAAACAAGTATGTCATCATAGTTTGCTTTTTAAACCTTGAAATGTTAGAACAAGCAGTGAATGAGCCATATTTTCCTGAGCAATCTGTTGAAGCTAAAGTGTCTCAGGCTAATATGATAATATAATGATATCACACCTTTGCACTTACTACTCTGTTCAGTTTTGAGAATAGTGACCATCTGGGTTAGGATCATAAATCCACCTTTACTTAAAAATAGTTACGTCATAAGAAAAGAATCTTGCTAAATGGATGGGAAGGATGGCTGCACATATTATTAGGATAGAGGATATTATTAGGCTTATGAATGCAATGTAAGAACCTATGTAAAATACAGCAGAATACCGCTCTATTAAAACAGTTCATGTTGTTGTCACAGTCTTTTCCCTAAAGTTTTAAGCTGAGCAACAGTGATGACTATGCTTCCCTGGGTAAAAAGATTATTTTGATTAATGTCCATAAATTATTTATTCACTTTTATTCATTTCAAAAGAAACGGAAAAAAAACAATGAAGCCAGAGATGGTTTTACTCTACATTAGCTAAAAATGGTACTGGAATGGGCAGCCCTCCCAGGCACGTTTCCACCTGCACTATCAGTCAGCTTGTTTGCCATTAAGCCACATATACCTGATGGCCCACTTCTGCTGACCTCTGTGGATAAAATATTGCAGGTACCTCTGAGCATAGAACAGTCTGACTCTGAAGTGAATCTAACTTTGTTCTGCCCATATCCTAGAGCATGCTTCTGGGAACACCGGTCTGGGTTGTTTGGCCATCAGAGAACTGCACTGGACATAGCAGTACAGGCTCTGCTCTACACAATCCAGCCTGATGACAAGCCCTGCCCAAATACTTACTGAATCAGATGGGACACCTCCACTCCACACAATTCAGAATTTCTGTGTCCAGTGAATTAAGAAATGCCAGGATTTCTATTGCTCAAAGGGTCAGTAGCCATTTAGGACCTCAGAAGGACATTAGCACACTGTGAAACTTAAAAAGCATTATGGCTGGTATTGGCCAGCAACACCACAGACATGTATTATTTTAAGGGTACATGCATGCACACTGTGTCACACATGCATGCACACACACCATTGTAAGTCATCCCCCACATCTGTTATGTTAGCACCATATTTTTAACAGTGGATTTTATCAGCACCTATAATTGGGGTTATATTGCCATCACAGAGGTTAATAAATCTAACCTTACCATGCTGCATATCCTGAACAACCAGAGACTTCAAGAGAAGAAGTAAGCCCTTAGCCAAAGGTCACAAATGTATGAAAAAGGACAATTCGATTTGTGGCCAAATATTTCTATTAACATTCCTCAAGGTTTTTGTAAAAATACGGCTACTGGTAGTCATAGCTCTGTAACCATAGTGACAGCTGGATTCATGGCCATGTACCTCACTCTGCACTGCATAAAAGTGACATCTTCCTGTATTACAATCTCAAGTTGTCAGGTAGCTAGGGAGTAAATCTGAGATTTTCAAAAGAGCAAGAAGAACCAAGGTGTCCAAATCTTTCTGAATTTCAAAGGAATCTAAATGTTAGACTCTGTCCAGCTCTCTTGAAAATGCCCAGTTTTGCCTCAAAGGGTCCCATCTGGTCTCCCTAAAGTTTGTTATGCCATTTTCTTCAGTAGCACTATTTGGCTGGCGCTCTCCTAATGCCTCAGGCCCAGAGCTACACATGTACTCTGGGTGTCAGGCTCCTGTCCCATGTGCACTCACCCTCACTATGATCAAGGATTTGCAATGGGAAAAAGTTTACTATGAGTGAGGTGATGAAGTACTCTTGTGGATATGGATCACTCTGCTAAGAGATACTTGATTAAATCATAGTTCTGAATACTGGTGCAAGTGACTATCTATTAAGGTTGTAGATGCAACCAGCTTTGCTTTTCATGGTACCAAGAAATGTAGTTTAAAATGGATTTGGGAACTTAACATCCCATGTTTGGTGGGGTTTTCAGGTTACAGCAAGACACGCGTAGCAGAGGAAAACTGTCCAGGACAGGTGATGGCTGAGGTATCCTTTAAGGGTTCAGTCAAGTACTAGATACACACTTTTTCATCTGAAAAAACCCATGTTTCATTTTGGCCTGCACATCATCACCAGTTATTAGAAAAACTCTGCTCTTAAACACATGAAATGAGCAAACAATTTAGAGAGACAGTGCCACTTCACCTTGATTCCTAAATACAGAAAAGTGAGTGAGCACAGAGAGATCTGGCCCACAGCGCACGAATGTGACTGTTGCCCCATCGGCCACCTTCACTCAGCACTTGAGTAAGCAGTGCTGCTGTTTCAAGTGGGTTTTGAAAGAGAAGTGGAAGAAAGAACAAGTTACACATTCATTGCAAAAAACAAAAAAAACATTCTTGCAAGCTTGTTTCTAGCCTCTATGCACGCCTAAAAGTACTAGCTACTGGTACTCTGCAGATTATGTTACAGATTTCGGACTATTACAAAGAAAAAACTGTAGCAGTAAATTAGGACTGGTAACCCTAAGGGATGTGTTTTCCCAGTTTTGATGACAGATTTCCACGTATGCTGGATGGTTGAGAAAAAAAAGAAGAAATTTAAAACCTGTAAACAGAAGCCCTACTCAAAGCAATCAGATAAAAAACAACTAGTGCCGAGCAGCTTGGTTGGTGTTTTCTTGATTTTGAGGTGATTTTCTTCTTGATTTAGTGTAATTCTGTTGTTTGAGGCCTCTCTGATCCCCATATCTTGCTTTGTTATGAATTCGAGGCTGACTACACGTGAAGCAGCACTGAGTCTGTATGGATGGCAACAAGCACTTGCCAATGCCTTTCAGCCTCTGGCAGAAGTGAACCGAGAGCTGGTCTTTGCTGCAAGGTAGCCCTATGGTGGAGAAGATGAGAAGAGTTAGCTATATTTTGCAGACACATTATCTGTATTTCTAGAATTTTAATCTGCTTTACAACAGACAGTCATGCCTGTTAAGGCCTTTCCTTAGGATGGCTTTCTTTTCCTTTGCATTACAGGTCAGCCTGAACCCCCTGTGATTTCAAGACTTTTGAGTGAACAGGTCCTATTAAACTCCACACAACCTTCTGTCTTGGAAAATACAGCACTCCTTTGCTACTGTTCAGTGAGGCTTTACTTCTGCAGCAGACATAGCTGATCGATGTTTTACACTTCAATGTTTCTCCTTTAAAGAACTGCCAAAGAAAGTCTAGCATCAATGATTTGTGACTCTGGTACTTTTGCTTCTTATAACAGTGCATTTAAGAAAAGCACAACGGGCTGGCAGTGTGCTGCAGAACCATGCAGGGCAGGCAGAAAAGCACAGACAAGACACGTGCAACTACATGTTCAGCTTGAGAACGCTTCAGCTTCTGCAGCACCAGAATAAACCAGGGACTGGTACTGTATGAATTATGATGCTGATACATCTGTTGTAGCTTTAATAAACTCAGATGTGTCAAATTTATTTAGTTATTACAAAATGGGGGTCCTTAGTTGTGAAAATAGATGGCTAGGGCAAGAGTCAAGGTTTGCAAAGGTAGGAAGATGTTGGTATAGTCAAATGCAAGGCTGTTCAGCAAATCCCCTAACACTAGAACTAAGGAAACTCAATAAAATTAGTGTAAAGGTATTTTAAAACAGACAAAAGCACTTCTTTTCACAGCAGGCTGTGAACCTCTGGAACTTGCTGCCATGGGAGAGGGTGAAAGCAGACAGTATGGCAGGGTCAAAAAGGGATGCAACATATTAATGGAAAAAGTTCCATACATTTAATCAAAAGGGGTGCCTTTAATAGTCCTAACATGTCGGTTGGGAATGCTGGAGGAATACCATGGAAATGAATCACAGGAAAGGACTAAACTCCTATATTCTTCCCAAGTAGCATTTTCTAATGCCACTACTGGAGACACAGTGTTGGGCTTCATGGACCACTGGTCTACCCACCAGGGCATTTCTTACTGGCCCCTTAAGCTTTTATTCACAGAAAACAACATTACTACTTTGTGTAGGTAGTATTTATCTGAGTATGTCTTTCTGAACGTGAGAGGGACAGGAGATAAGCAGTCCAATTCAACCCTAAGGCAAAACATGTGTTGAAAATCTTTGAACAGCAGCAGGAGTGATGCATCACTCTCAAGTGTATGACAGACGTGTACTACCCTCAGGAATCAACCTCTTGTCTCACTGCCAGATTGGACACTTACGGCTGACATCCTAAGGGGGGAAAATCTCCTCCAAAAGACTTTTGAAGGTTTTTCTCTTAGCTGAGGGTACCTGCTGGATAATGCACTACAGAGGCTACAGATAAAGGTATCTTTCCATAAGCTTCCTCCCTCCTCTGCCACTTCTCTTCTGGGCTATTAATCACCTACAGGGCTCCTGGGCTTTTGAGGCAAAGAGGTACCCTGAGTAACAAGAGGACTTCTCTCCACCTCTTCATTTTGGAGACTGAATTTATAGTGCCAAGACTGTATCTGGGTTCACTGCCAGTCCGATTTTTCTTACAGTGTCTCGCTTTGCTTCTTTGCACTCCCAGTTTAGAACCTGCAGTTCCCATAGGAGTATCTATCTTAAGAAATGGCACCTGTTTAGACTCACAGCATGTCCCTCCCAGCCCTTGAAGTAGCCTGTGAGTTACCTAAAACAGGTCAATACAAACAGACTATTCATTTAGTCGTGGCATCATGAATGAGGGATGCACGCTCAGAGAACTGCATTCCCCAGCATGACAACACAAGGCCAGCAAGGCTGAAGAACATGACAACGTGATTCTGCCAACAGCGTGGCTGAGCAGTAGCAGGTTAGGCTGACTTGTAATTACTGGGCCCCTGGTAATCAAAACGAGCTGCTAAATTAGGTCAGCTCCCGTTTTTTTCAGAATCTCAGCACAAATGGAGAATTTCTTGGAAACTGTCTGATGCAGGTGTGTTATCATACCTGTACTTTTCCTGCACTCTTGCAGACCGCATTTCTGATTCTCTCTGGGCTTGGGTTTCTCCACACACATACTGTCATCTTCAGTTTCATTAGTTTCTGTGTTCGTGCATTCCACAGTTCTTTGCTGAATGCCCCCTCCACAAGAAACGGTGCACTGAAAGAGAGTAATTTTAACACACATAGAAGTCTTCTATGTGAAAATTGTGTAATACGCCGATATTTGAACTGTAATGTGATGGGAAGCTAAAAGTGCCCTATGATCCAGAACCAATGACACTGAAGTACTTTGTGTACTGTATTCTCCACCCAGACACATCCATTGTGCATAATGGCCAGATTTGGCAGGGTGCAGTAGAGGGTAAATAGTATAAATACACCATTTTGAAATGTGTAACCAGGGTGAGAGGACTGTTTTCTACAAGAGGAGGGTGAGGATGATCTGAAATGCCCATTTACAAAGTAAGTGGGTAGTAATTCAGATTAGTACTGCACACTGACATTTTTTTGTTTCCTGTGTTTTCTCACCATTTAAATTAAACATGAATAATCAATCGCAATGTTAGGTCTAGAAATGGCTGAGCTGAAGATTAAAAAAAGCTCAGTGAGATGTTTCTTCTTTGGTGACATTTACACTGTGGTTACCCATTTCTTATGACCACAAAACAACTGCCAGCTGCTTGCTCTGGCTGCACGCAGATGGCCATGATAAAGAACATTTTCAAAACATATTCCTGTACTATTGTGTAAATGTACTTAATTCTTAGAGCATCCTCAAGCATCTGAGAATTCCAGTTAATATTAAATTCTTTTTCTCTTCACGTATATAGTGTGAACATATATGTGAAGAGAAACATAACAACATAAATACTTCAACAGAGAAAGAATGCCAGCTAATGAAGAGCAAGAGATGAAGGTGGGACTGGTACCTCTTTAATTTTTCTGCACATTATCTTCTCTCTAATGTTTCTGTGTATAAGACACAATACTACTGCTGTGAAGTACACTTAAAAGATCTTCAGTACTCTTGTGGCAACTTCATATTGATGTTTAAAAAAGATATTTTATAAAGTAAAATAAATGGGATTAATAAATCAGTAAAATAGTTGTTTTACATTTTGGTATTCAGTTGCTTATCTTATGCGTATCCCAACATTTTCACTTCCACATTTAATTGTCAGTTTCAGTAACTGTGTATTACATTATACTCGTATCCCATCTAATGGCCTTGTGTCATAAACAACTCATTAAATTTTCTGTGTTAAATCATGCTCCATTGTTTCCTTATTTGTGTCTCCTGGCTTTTGGTGTTCTTTCAATGTTCTCTGCTGCTGTAAGGAGTATTTGTAATGTATGAATAGGTTTATTAAGGAAACTGGAGGGAAAGGTTCATTTGATATACCGGTTTCTTTATAACTGAACATGTATCGCAGATACTGGAAGGTTCCCCAAAGATACACCTTATATTTGTCAAGTAGATTTTCAGAAACCGAAGTAGAAGGGTATTGGTCAAACTTCAGAGTTTCTGTTTGTGTGGGCAAGTCCAATATTCCACAGAATTGCTTTAAGGGTCACCCTGGCCCCCAGTAGTCTCAAAGAGTGGAAAATTTTGAATGACTAATGGAAAAATGCCAATGGTGTCTCCTTTTTTATTTTCACTCTAACAAGCTGCCCAGAGAAGCTGTGGCTGCCCCTTCCCTGGCACTGTTCAAGACCAGCTTGTATGGGTCTGTGAGCAACCTGGTCTAGCGAAAGGTGTCCCTGCCCATGGCAGGGGGTTGGAACTAGATGATCTTTAAGGTCTCTTCTAACCTAAACCATTCTGTGATTAGAAAAGGAAAAAAAACCCCAACCACTCAACAACACTTATTCCAGAAGTAAAAGCTACAATGTTTATGACCTGAAGGAACTGAGATGGGCTGGCTCTGAAACATTTAGTTGTATTTTCAGATCACCCATTGTAGCTCTGCATAAGAAATTGTACGTCCCATAGGCACGGAGGTTCACAGACAAGTGGGTAATGTGATCAAGTATGTCCAACTTGTGACAACTCAGAGCAAAAAGAACTGCATCCTACCGGGCCCCATGCCTGGTTAGTCCACTGTGTACAAGGTTGCCTGTTACATGATGCAATGGCATTAGGTCTTTTTGTCCAGTCACAGTGGCCTTCTTCTGGGCAGTAGATACGCCGCTTTTGCTGGCCACCACCACATGTTCGTGAACACTACAAAAGAGGTGCACAAACCATTAAGGTGAGAAGTGGGAATGGATGAGAACCCAGAAACAGACCATGAAGAGAGCAGGAAGTGTTCTTCATCTAGAAATGTGGAATTACAGGCAATAAGCAGCATGTTGCTGACCCTCAGACTCTGGCCCCATAAAATTCCAGCCCAAAAGTGTAAAGGAAAATTCTAAATTAATCCTAATGAGAAAGTAACATTAAAATGTCAGCAAAAGGGATCAGTCTGAATGAATCACATTTACTGATCCACTAGGATAGCTAAAACAAATCTTCTACCAGGTCATCGTCTTTTCTCTTTCAGGGTATGGTAATTTTACAGCTCTAGCTATGTATCACATGCAATCCTAAGAATCATTCTTGGAAGCCTAACAAACATCCGTGGTAATACTACACTCAAGGACTGCAGAGCCTCTGAGTGGTACAAGCTGTGTGTCTACCTTCAAGCCTAAGCTGACCTAACAGCATGTGATCTATCAGACACTGTTAACTGACACATGCTTGCTCCTTCCTAAAGCTTCCTTTAAAGAACAATACCTCATGCCAGGGTTCCACATGCCACTGCAAGCAAGGCTCCATGTTACAACTGATGTTGAGTTGTGGTTTATATCCGAGTAATTGGCAATGAAAAGGCCGGAGAAGTCGCTTTTCACGAACATCAATGCAGTGAACATCGCGAGTCTTGAAACCACCACTGCAGTTAGCAGAGCACTGTACACAAACCAGAAAGAGGCACATCTCTAAGTGATGCTCCACTGAGGGGCTGTGCCTTCTCCAGTCACAGAGGAAGACAGCCTGAGCTTTGAACATCCTGACTTGGAGGGAATTTCCAGTTTACCATAACAACAATCTGCTGTTGGGCATAAACACTGTGGTTTTCATCATCGCAAATCAGAACACACCATGTAAATACTTCCCTTTCTTCACTGGAATATCCATTAATAACACGGATGCATATTTAATTAGGAAATATTGCCAGGCATTTCAAAATATGTAATTGTGAAAGAGTTATAATACAGTAAATACAGAAAATTAATCCTGTATGCATGCAAATTGTCAATTCTTCAGTTGTTTCTCAGAGACGGAGGGAATGAAGGAAGAGGCACAGTTGCCTGAGTTGATTCTCACACAGCCAATGGAAGGCACAGATGTCCATGGCAACAGATAACTCAGGCTGGCAAAATTACTCCTTGTCTTAGCCCACAGACTTGAGCTGCTGCTGATACCACTAAAGACAGTAGACTCATCCCACAGCAGCAGTTCCCACCCTCGCCTTCCTTGCTCCTACATGGCACCAGGAGGATCCATAATCCAAGTGCAGCCTGGGTGAGAAGAGAGAGACACTCTGAGCCCCACTCACAGCCTGTGAAATTGTTCCTCAGCTTGGAGCTCTACTGGTGAGCCAAGAGAACCCTTCCAACCTCCTGTTTCTCCCCAGAGCTTACTCCAAGGCCTTATGCAGCAGCACCAGATTCTGTCCCCAGATATCAGAGCACAGAACCTGCCCTGATACTGAGAAAGAACTGAATTTGCTGCCTCAAGGATAAGGACAAAAACAAATACTGTTTTCATTCAGAATTAAAGCCAATTCTGCCTATACCACTTCCAGCTTTCATCTTTACTGCCATGATGCAATACAACAATTGATGCTGTTCTCCTCTGCGTAAATAAGCATTCTTCAGTTGAACAAGGAAATTGAATATAATACTTTCCCTGGAACTGAAGGACGGTTGGAACTTCTTGTTCACAGAAGTTTCTGTCCCTCTGAATAGAAACAATGGGCAGAAGTTGACTGTGCAAGAAACTGAGCAGATAGCCCCAAAATACGTGCAAAATACATTTGGTATTAAACTCAAAGACCTAGTCTGAAGCACCCTTCTTTTAGAAGAATCAAATGAGACTAAAGGAATAAAGTTCTACTACACTAGTAGTAGGTGGCTGTAGGGGAATACAGACATCTTGTTGTGATAAGGTGCCTTAAAACCATTTGAAACAAGTTACAAGAAAAGTAATTGCCATGTGCAATTATTTTATTTTTATATATGAAATTGTAATTCGGTTTGTATAGTTCAATTGCTGGAAAATAAGGGTGGTTAACTGGCTAACACAACAGAAATCTGCAAGGAAAAGCCTTTTATCTCAAACTGGTCTCACAATTGGATTGACACTTCTAAACATTTGTTTCATGAAGTATTTTATCATTAAACCCAATTTCTAGGTACATCCTGTGACTTAACTAGCATCCATTTGCTGCAAGAACAGTAACATTTATGAAGAAAAAGTGAAGGTGAAATATGACCTACTGCAACTGGAACTGCAGAATGTCTATGTATCATTTTAAATAAATTTCAAGTGCTTAAAGTGGTTACACAATGCCTTGGCCTTTCATGGACTTTCTAAAAAGGCATGTGTTTCACACACAAATCAATTCTATGTCAAAGAACTCAATTATACAACACAGGTTTTGTAACTGTAACCTTTTCTTTGTATGTGTCTGCCCTCTAGCCCAATAGAAACAATGCTATGTGCAAAAATTATACATATTGAGAAAGTTTGAGAGATCTATCTTTTTCTTTATTAAATCAGCATTACTGCAAACAGAATTTTATAGGGTTGGTTTTTTTTTTGAGTCCTGAAAAATAACCCAATGTTTGAAGTTTTAGACAGCATGAAGAAAAAATATAACAAGCTTCAAGAAGTCACCAAAGTCCTTCCAGATGCTCATCACACACCTTACAATACCAAAAAAGAACTCAAATGCAACTTCTTATATTCCACTTACCATCTTTGGACACTCTTCTCTGTCTTGACCTTGCCTGTCTACATAACAAGGACCAAATAAGACCCTAGTCATGGCAGGCATTCTCCCCTGTACATTTTTCTTTAGGTTTTGTAACATAAAACTTGGAGGTTAAATGAATGGGGAACAGACCATGCTGCATAAGAGACAATACATGGTGGCAAGGGTGAATAGGAACATGTCAACTTCCTCTCCCAAATTTCCACTTGCTTCTTAAAATTAGGACATGCCTCTTGAGGCAGAGATCAAAAAGACACCACATGTAAATACCTACAGCTTTGACCTAGTATCTCCACAGAACACGGACATGAGCCCTGCTTTAGCTCTAGATGCAAGAGTTAACGAACCTGACCCCTACACAGGAAGAACAGAATTCACAGATGTGTTTCTATAAATAACTTATTCAGGAAATTAGCAAATTAGTGCTGAATAGTCATCTGGGAATCATGCATGCATTCACTGAGTAAATAATTATTTTTAAAATGAAGTATTTTGAACTCACTACTCTTTGAATTATCAAGCTTACTGTTCACACACAGCTCTGAATGAAGTTACCTTGCTCCAATTTCCTGTCTTCCATCTAGCGCATGGGCGGAGATAACACTTCCTTGCAGGATCAGGCTTTTTTATGTGCTGACAGTGAGATGTGTTCCTGCTGCTGCACTCCACGTGTCTCCAGAAAGCCCCCATTCCACATGAGGTAGAGCACTGCGCACCGATGAGAGGAAAGCACAGGGGCACACACAGCATTAGTGAATCATTATGGAAACAACCAAGATTCATCAATCAATATAAGCATTTAGAGCAATTTTAGACGGCCTAGCTTATCTGGGATAGTCAAAGGAAGATTTCAAGTTCACCTAGGTCTTGCTTCAGGTTCTGCAGCTTTGTTAAGACAATGCAAATTCTGATTTATACCATACACCACTCCCCTTTGGCAAACTCCTGCTGACTGAGACCTCTAAATCTGTACCGGCTGTTTCATTGTTTCCTTCTGCTATCTTTGCGGATCCAGTGTAAAATGTCATTGCATCTATCCCCAGTACTGCTGATGAGATACTCAGCAAAATGAGTGCAGGATGCTGGAATTTTGTAATAAATGGTATGGGACTCCTGAGAAAGCTGTGCAGGAAAATGATTTTTGAAATGAGTTCAGAAAGCAGGTGTTTCCAACATTTGGGAGGGTCTTAGTGGCTGAAGTAAGAGAATATTGATTGTGCCAACCCAGATCCCAAGAATACACACTGTTCACCAAAAAAGTCACTATCATTTTATTCTGAAACAGGAAGGGGTGAAAAGTGGCTGGAGACACCCATTTAGCTTTAAAAGGGAGGGACAGTGAACTATACACACAGAGTCAAATCCAACATGCACCAAGCAGCCTGTAGCTGGCATGAGAAACAGCATAAATAATCCTGGTTTAAGTCAGCAAAATCATAGAGCAACTGCTATTGTGTGGTTTGAACTTCCTACACAGAAGTGGGAGAGTTAAACAGGGAAACTGAGTAAGTTTCCTTGGAAAGGTAAGGAAAGCTAGGCTGAAGCTAAGGCAGGGGGAAAAAACCCAAACCACCAAAACACTGAAGATAGGGAGCTGATACCAGATTTAATCAGAGAAATGCAAAAAGGTTAATGGTCACAACAAGGAACTTGGGGAAATTACACGTTAGAAAAGTGTGAATCTCCAAGGTCTCTGCAGCATGCCATCTCCAGCTTCTGAGACTGCTGGGACATCTGTCCAAGGGGCCACAAAGAATTGGACTGCATACCACCTATTCAGATTTGCAAGTCATATATCTATCCAAGACAGCTTGTCTGTTCAGGAGGATGAACTGTCCTTGTCTTGGTTGTTGATCGTTTACTGGCTCTCCCAGGCCCTGCTGGGGGCGCTGAATATACCAAGACTTTATTAAAGGGCTGCTTAGTCTTTGACCAAAGCCCCATTCTGAGCATTCATGAGAAGACCAAAGATAACTCCAGGGATGATGCTGGGCACATCCTATTTACAAAGCTTTATGTTCTGGTCTGAGGAAGGTGAAATACAGCAGGGTTCTTTCAAAACTTTTTGTGAGAAGATACAGAGCCAAGGCAGCAGGACAGCACAGTACTGCAAATAGTACTGGGAGAAAGCTTTAGCTTTCTTGACCATTGTTTCATGTCACATAAACAAGACCAATCACTCTGAAGTTCAGGAAGACTTATTGCTCTTGTCTTTGACATTCAGGAACCAAGACTTCTTGTCACAGTAGATGTCTATTACCAAAGAAGGAAGTGCAGGTGACTTTCCATGACTAGTAAGAGAGGTGCAGAATAAGCAGATATGGTGGTCATGGGGTATCTTTGATAGCCAGGTAACTCTTAGAAAGGGAAAACTAACAGCCCAGAATGCCCTGGGAAAGTAGTAGGAAAGAAGTTAAGAGTTACACACAGAAGCACTAGTGTCACTGGCACTCTTTTGCCCTACTCAGGACAGTGTCCAGATGGCTTCACAATATCTTCAAAGATAGAGATTCTGCAAATTCTCCTTTTCTTCTTCAAAATGAGGGAAAAAAAAGAAAAAAAAAGTTAAATGTGCCAGGCTTCACAGATAATTTTAAGGCAAAAAAAAAAAAATAGCTTGAATGAGAATAGCAAAAGATTACTAAAACATTAAAGATGAATAAGGTTAGATCCATTAAGGATCCTCAAATTGATTTAATCAGTTTTGTGAAACCGAATGTATTGACATCACCTCATTCATTCAAGTGTTCTTGAATAATCTTTTAACTATTCAGAATTATTCTTCAAAAATAGTTTGGAAAAGTCCCAGAGGATTAGAGAAGAACATATTTCAAGTTATCTTTAGGATACTTGCCAAGTTATCTTTAGGAAGAGAAAATGTCAGATCTATGGCCTAATGCAACACTTCACCTAACTTTACTTCACAAGAAGATAAGGAAGATATCAAAATTGTAAATACTAACAAAGAAGACAAAGCAGTAAAACAGCCCACATGTACCTATTTAGCATAAAATATTAAATTAAATATGCTTCTCTGACAGGGGTACCTGGCTTAATGAAAATAGATGATGTGATGCATTTTGACATTGTTTAGCAAATGTTGGAAATTTGGTCGTGGTGAAATAATTACTACATTGGTGCGCAGCTAACTGAAAAACTGAAATAAAGAGGTCTTTGGTGATTCAGTGTGAAAATGAAAAGGTGCTGCAGGGCTCTGCCCAGAGCCAAGCTCTCTTCTGTATTGACAGTCACTAATTTAATGAAGGAGAGAAAGCACTTAAAGCATTTGCAGATGATGCCAAGCTGGAAGAGTTGGCAGGAATGTTGGGAGGACACAATCTGAATTCAAAATTATCTCAGCAAGTTAAAAATTGCAAGAAAACAGTAACCTGAAATTCAGAAACATGTGCAAAATACTCCATTTATTGAGAACTTTTTATATATACATACACACACACACACACACACACATAGAGGTACACACACATCCCAAACAAATCTAAGAACATCTACTGATTTAGAAATACTGCATTAAGGAATCCAGAGTTTACAATGGATCACAAATTGAATAAATCAAAAGTATGATAGTTACAAAACAAGACAAATCTCATCCCATCATTCACAAACAGGGTCATAAATAAAATTATAGCAACTATTCAATTTTATTTGCCAGATGTCAGTTGGGGCCATAACAAACATCATTTGTGAAGAAATATATGATGAAACTGAAGCAAGTCCGTAAGAGAACAATAAAAACATCAGATATTTAGAAAATACTAGAAATATTTAGGAATATATATGAAAATCTAAAAAGGATCAGACTGTTTTTAGAAATCAGTCCCCAAAGCAGTTAATGAGAAGACAATTATCATCTATGATCTGTATATAAAAATTAGAATCTTCATTTAGAGTACAACGGATGTTGTATTTCTAATGGAGGTAAAGAATGACTAGGACAGATTATAGCATTTCTGAATTGTACATTTCTGATTTTATGTTACCACTACTATAAAACAGGTCCAATATGCAATCACCTAAACTTTAAACAAAGTTGCAGAACTCCATATTACAATGTCTTCCATGGACATATGCTGGACAAATTACGAAACCTGGGTATACTGGTTTAACTTTAGACTAATACTCTTATCTTTGCTTTGTAGATTCAAACTGGTTTTATGAGGCTAAATGCTGCTCTGAGTTTAGAGAGGCATTTGCTAATGGTGGATACAAATGCTGACAGTGGGATGAGACAGAAATGCACCACAATCATCTGTTAATAGACAACTGAAAATATGTTTAAGTATCCATGGTATTAGTGTGCATTACACAGTAATATAGCTAACTTATCTACATGACCTTGGTCACGTAGTAAGTTAGAAAACACACATAATTTAGAGACAAATTACATGTAACTGAAGGCTAGAACATCACAGCACATCTACAGCTAACTCGTTTTATGTACTTATTTGGAAATACAAGCATATTCATTTAGTGTCTCCAGGATTCATCTAATAGCTTAACATTCTGCTGTGCTCTAAAACAAAACCCTTGAGGTATTTCTGGTTATAGACAAACCTGAACGTCATGTCCCTGGAAAGCTTTAGAACAGAATAGAGGGGTTTTTCAGTTCAAAGAGACCTGCAACGATCTGATCCAGTCCAACTGCCTGATCACTTCGGGGCTGACCAAAAGTTAAAGCCCATTATTAAGAGCATTGTCAAAATGACTCTTAAATGCTGACAGCCTTGGGGCATCGACCATCTCTTTAGGAAGCCACACTATTGCTGATACAAGCCAGGATGTTGGTGGCTTCTTGGCTGCCTGGGGACAA